CAGGTTCGGATACAAGATTTACGAAGCGTAATGTAATATTGTATTATACAACATATATAATAAAATAATACCAAGTGCGACGCACGTAAATAATATTAATAATTATTATAATATAATAATAATAATAATAAAATCAATAAAATAATAATAGTAACAAATATCAAGCGAATTTTATGGTGAGCGATGACAATAAAGTTTAAAAATTGAGAAGATACTTTATAGCACGTTGTAATTATATCAGAATCAATTTGTTCGATATTTCATTGATCTTTCATTATAAACTTTAAAATATATTTTAATTCAACGCAACTTGACGAACTAAAAAAATCGCGCGCATTTTTCATTATTTCCTCGCATTTTCCATTATAATTTAAATCATATTTACGTTTTCGATTTACGAACAGTAAAGAAAATACGTGTGCATTCTTTTCGATTCATTTGTTCAACATTTGGCAAGATTTACACTTCGAAAAGATTTTCGCATGCAGAGACCGTTTTCTCGGAGCGAGTCTCTGATCATCGCGATTCATTCCAATTACCGTTAAATATACAATTATGCGTTCTTATATGTACGCGATAATAACGTAATAAAATGTACAATTTATCATAATCATCATCGCGTTTTGACCATAGGTGGATCTAATTTATCATTCACGAGGGCAAAATTGTAAAAGATATTATATCTTTTCCGTGATACATCCTAAAATGTATTTCCGAAAGGGATTATTCCCTCTTCAAATCTTTATCTAGATCCACCTAAAATTCGACTAAAATAGCAATTTATAGCCAGGGAAGAATTGAGGTGGAAGACTTGGAAAATCAGAGATCGCCATTCGAGACCGCGATTGGCGATGGGCTCGCGGAATTGCTGGAGTTCGTTGTCGCCCATTTATTCTTGTGCGGGTCGACACCGAAGCCCTCGTCATAGTTTCCCCGTGTAATAAAAAGTTGCTTGAAGTGCGGGATACAGTACAGCTTGCCGTTATTCAGAGTGAAGGAGTCCATCCTGTTTGAACATATTAATAATGTAACAATAACTATACTTAACAATAATTTCGTAACTGTATTTAATTGAAGATATAAAAAAACGAAATAGAGAAGAAACAAAAAAATCGATTATAATGTATGTTATAATATTTGTGTATGTACATATTATATTATAATTAAAATTATTATTACTGCCACAGACAAAAAATATTTCTATATTTATACATACATTCACATCATGTTAAATATCAAAACATTTTCGATAACTAACACTGCATTTCTTGACATTTTTGTAGGCTCTTCATTTTCTTTAAGCGAAATATGTTTAGTACAGGCTATATTATAATCTTATCTTACATCCAGTAAATGAGAATGGATTAAAATGAATTAAAATTTTTTTAATGCGTACTTTAAATCCATGAAAATGGATTGAAATGGATTAGATCCGAGCTAACACTAATTTAATATTCGAAAAAAAAAAAAACATTCATATTTAAGAGTTACAAATTTTATTCCTAAGACATTTATAATAATTATTACCTGATATTAACTATTTCAAATTGGTATTAAAAAATAACTCATCTTAGTGGGATTTTAATCTGGGATTTCTAAATTATGAATTTTTTATGTTACTCGTTACACCACTTCTTCAATTGGTAAACATGTTATTCATTCTCTACTTCAATTACAACCAGCTAAACCAGTGCACGAAATTATATAGATATAATAAAAATATCTAATAAAATATAAACAATTACAAATTTACATTACAATGAAACAACATTGGGTAAGGGTCGGAAAATCTAATCTCATTTGGTTGATGTCGCGCCGTGATCAGCGTAATATTCGCTGTATTCGACTTGTGTTCACATCGATTATTCATTTTGCTTCTAATCAAAGAGAAACAAAAGAACATAGCTCAATTCTTTTTATATTATAACTTTTTTGAATTTAGTTGAATTAAAACGAAAAATTTCCTATTTATACAATTTATAATTTTGAATAATTTAAGTAATGATCTATTAAAAGTTATGATCTATTTTTAAATAAAAACTTTTTTTATTCAATTAGATTGAAAAACTGCATTTCATATTCAGAACATTGAACAATATGCACAGGATTGACTGATATTATTTTTAGATTCAATTGGATTGAAAAACTGCATTTCCTATTCAGAATATTGAATTGATCAGTATTCATGATGTATACAAAATACTATAATATTATAAAAATATAAAAATATCAAAATATTTAACGTTTAATTTGACAAAAGCTCTCGTACTCAAACACTATTTAGATGTGAGATGTAGGCATTTGAGAGCAAACGCAGTTAGATAAGCGTATATCTGTTCAATAAAATTGAGTAATAAGTTTATAAAATGTCTTTATTAATACGAATGTTTTGACTTTTTTTTTTAAGCCTTCTTCAGCGTATATCCCAGGTTTTTTTCTGAAATATTTCATTACTTGATGAGTTGAGATTGCCAATTTGAGTATTGATTTGAGTATTGATCCTTAATTAGCTGTGTGACTGTTAAGATCTAGAATATGTTGTTATTTTAAACATTTCAAATAAAAAAAAACTATAATATTATTTTTAGATTGAAAAACATACTCCATGCCATTCCTAAATGAATAAAAATGCATTCAAGATTGAAAAGAATTTATTTTAACATTCATGAATCTGTATTTCTAAAAATTTCAATCCATTTTAATCCATTTCAATCCATTCTCGTTTGCTGGGTATATAATATCTGACCTGATATAAGCAGAAGTTTACATGTCTTTTTCCATTACCTTAAAATGCAATTGCACTGCAGACACCGGAAGCATTGCTTATGGAAGATTTTGTTATTTGTCTCGACCTTCTCCAAGGGGTAGACCTTTTTCTCGCAGCTCTCGCACACCTCCGTGCATGTCGTCTGGATCTCCTGTACGATTGTTACGTCAGAGGAAATTTAATCCTTACGAATACTCCTCAATAACAACCGGATACCGGGGATTTATGTATGCTGAATGTATGATAGATTGTGTAAAGAGAGATGCTCTAATATAAGAGGAATATGTACATACACTACGCGAAGAAGAAGACGAAGAAATGCCGCGTTTCTCGCATCAAGAGATCTTCCCTTGATTTCATCCTACCCACTCCTCCCTTACCAGATAGATTTAGCACCTGTTTTATTTATCATTTGTGTATTATTGTAATAAATGTTACACGTGAAAGATAAACAGAACAAGATCGTTATACATCAATAGAAATGATACGCTAAAAGACGCAGTAAACTAGACTATTATCGCTTCGCTATCTATGCTAATAACAAATCAGAAGAATTTGAGAGGCCGTTAACAAGGACTCGCAAATTGTCACGCGAGATCTCCGTCAACATCTCAATCAACGGAGCAGATCTTTCGCAAATCAAAATCAGCTTAGCGCTTCCTGTTATAAATCACACTAATCTCTTAAGTCTCTTAAATAAATTCATAATTCGTAATTTGCATATTCACAACGGAAGTTATTATTGCACAAATGGAAAAAGGAAGACGGAGAAATATTCGCTATCGAGAATATACATTTTCGATCTTTTTTCCTCTCTTTCTACAGTACTTAGATACATATCTAAAAAAATCGTACAATGCTCTCTTTTAAGAATGGGTCCTTCGTTTGAAATTCGAGGAACGCGATAGCGTTTTTACCCTGATATTACATGACCGAAGTCGTTCACGTCCCTTCTTCTATGAAGTATAAAATATGCCGAAAGTGGCATCGTGCCTCTACATTGACGACGTTCTCGTATTTAGAAGTAGCAGCGAAAATGTCATTTCTATAAGAATTTGCGATAACATTTTATACGATCTTGTAGCGAGTATAAAAAAATAACGGACATGATAGTACAAAAATGATAAAGCCATAGATAAGAGAACATTTTACTCATAAGAAATAATATAACGTATTTTATCTAGGATATAATACAACTATACTGAAGAAAAATGTACTAAATTTTAATAAGTATTTATTTGAGTACTAGCGAAATATTTATTATATGTAAACAATATATGTATTTATATGTATGTATATTTGATACAAGAATCATTAATTTAATTATCATCTTTGTATTAAGTAAATATTTATTATAAATAAATGTTAAAGTAGTACTGTTAAAAAAATATTATTAAGATTTAGTAAATTTTTTCTCAATATAAGATTAATATATAGAATAGATTTGCACTTTCTGTAAAACAACAAATACGTAGTCATAGTTTATCGTATTGCACAGGTGCTGAGATGCAAATATACAACGCGTGTTTGCGAAATAGTTTATTTGAATCACAAATGCGGGAAAGCAGGCTCGAATGCGACAACACGAGAACGAAATTATCGTTTCCGTTTTTTCACACGAGTATAAAAATCTACTTTACCACGGCGCTAAGCTGTAAAAAGATTCGAAATTTGTAAAAGCGATCGAAATAGCTACGGTCCTAACCGCCAGTCGGCCCCAGAATACCTCGACAGTATCCGATACTTCTTTATTCAGGCCTTTGTCGCACACGTTAAATTGGAGAAAGCATTACCTTTTGCTCCTCGTTCATTATTCTCACGCACTTTTTTTTCTTTCGCACTCTTACTCTCTCTCTCTCTCTCTCTCTCTCTCTCTCTCTCTCTCTCTCTCTCTCTTCATTTAACGTAAAACTTGGCACTTATGAAAATTAGAAATCTAAAGCGGCAGAGGAAGATCGTAACGATGAGAAAAAACTTTGAATCTTTTGTTATATGTGCTTGATGTTCATATTGTGATAGTTTCATTTTCTGCATTTGCTGATATATTTCATACATAGTCTAATATGTTATATTAGATAAATCTCGAAAATTTTATTATTATTTATGTATTGTTTTAAAAAGTAAATCATTTATATAAAAAAATCAAAAAGGCATATTATACGATGAATCAATCACCAGTAAAGACTCCGTTCAAATTAAAATTATAATTCGAAAAAAATCGCTTAAAAGTTTAATAAAATTTGGCACATTGCAGTATTATAATAATTTACAATGTTTACATCACTTTAATAAAAATTAAAATATTAAGATACCTAACATCTAATTAATTAATAAAGTAAGGAAAAATTGAATATACATCGTTACGAATTTCACTGCTTGAAAGCGAATCCATCTTATGTTTTACAGCAATACATCGCACGTATGTGGATAGAAAGAATTTATTTTTTTTCAAAGATTCTTCCTGACAACGATAAAGCCAACATACGTATGACACAAAAGATGGACATTCGTCTTTTATTGTGTAAAGTAAATTAGTAGACAATAAAGTTCTCTCTCTGTTATATGTATAAGTTGAGCGTTTCTGTGTAACAAATATTTCCACGGATTACTAATAAAGCAAGATTTCTATTACATACGCAATGAAAAATTTTGCAGCTGTCCAATTCAATTTATCATTTGATAAAAATATTTATAAGAAAATAATGATTAATAAATCTTTTCATAACGCCATAATCTGCAAATCAATATATATTAAATTTCTGCATGCTTTTTCTTCTGCGTGACTTGGCATGTTATGCTTCAAACGGTTTATTGCCATCTGTTTGGAATTGATTTTGCGATAGCATATATCTTCCATTCTAATTGGCAATTGGTCGAAACGCTCAACGAATCTAATAATCGCGCAAATTCTCTAGTACAATAACGTATTAACACATAACATATGATACAATCTACAGGCTAAGATGTACTATACGAACATAACTCGAGTGTGTTAAAATCATCCCTAAGAAAACGCAAAGTCGTTAATAATCGACAATAATCGAATTTTATTGCCGTTTATTTTTTCCTTAATGCACGAGATTTAAAAAAATTGCCTTTCCATCGCGGTTCCAACGACGGTTCCTCTTCCTCTTCCATCGATCTTCTTCTCTTTCTTCTCTCACTTTTCTCGTAATCGAATTAATCTCCTGGTGTGTATTTTCTTCGTCTCTCCCTTTCTTTCTCTTTCCTTTACTGCTCCACGTCATAAAAAGAAGAGCACTTGATTTGTTTGTGATTACTTTCACTTTATATTACCACACGACACAAGCGGGCAGAATTTTGATCAAAATATCGCAGGCAGATTTCAAACGAAGAAAAAAATATAAGAACAATAACGCCAAAAATAAAAAAGAAGATAATCACATCATCATCATGCTCGATAAAAATCAATAAAGGAATAAAAGTAAAAATTTCGTTACTTGCAGGAAATGTAATTGGAACTTAATGTGGAACTTAATGTGTATTCATTAAATTTTGTATAATTATTTCAGTTTCACATAATTTTCTTTTATTAAGTTATCCAGCTATTTTTATCATTTTTAGCTGCGAAACTGCAATTTTATACTTTTATTTTCCAATCACATAACAATGAACAATAAAGAATCAATTTTATGTTATAATGAGTGGATTTGGTGAGCGAATTTGAATGATGAATTTATTTTTTATACCGCATCTACACTTCGTTAGTAAGAAATACATCTCTTTGCAAAAGAAAAATTCTAGAAATATAATTGATTTATAACTTTTAGTTCTATAATATTTAGATCTACAATTTTTAGTAATGTAGACTAGATTGTTATTGTAGAGCAGATTGATTATTTTTCTAAAATATATTTTTAATTCTTATTGTTTAATCGCGGATATTAAAAACTAAATAAGTAAATATAGCTTAGAAATATATACCGATATTACAATACGACATTTATCAATGACTTATGTACTATATGTTAATATAATTGCGATATTATTGCAAAAAAATTGAAAGCGGTAATGTGATGAGAAATTATCTTATTTGTTCCATAAAAGGATGTAATAAAAAAGAGAGTGGATAACATGAATTTATGTTCGCAAAATCCATTAAATATATGAGATGAAAGATTATCACATTAAATTATTATAAGCAATAATTAACTTTCATCGCAGAATGTACACGTTTATATATAAATATATTTTACTATTATAATAGTGTAAAAATAATATATAAATTTTCGTTACATAAAAAAGATGAACCACATAAAATAAAATAAAATACAATAAAATCTTAATCGTGCATTTTCCACGCATTGGTTCGAATTGCGTCAAAATGCTGCAATCATTTATTAACTCAATAAAATGTTAATTTAAAAAATATTAATTACTTTAAAATATTATATTTCATTGTTTGTTTTGACGCAATACAAACATGCTCAACGAATAAAATACACTTATAATTTTAACATATAAAACAGATATAAGCACAGGCAGACTGACAACAATTCAAATCACACCATGCGCATACTTTACAATGCCGAATCGTCCATAAATAAAAAAAAAAGGGAATTTATCGGGAAAGATATTTAATTTAAAATTTCTGATTGGATTATAATCGCAATAATTTTAGCTTTATTTAAAAATAAATATTACTAATACTTAAAATCGCAAAATTGTTATACATAATGAGAACAGAATAAAAATTATGATATGATTTTTTCAATTTATATTTAAAAAATGTTAATATTACTTGCAAATATATTTTATATTACAATTTTTTTAAGAAAAGCATTATCGCAATTATAAACTAATCAGAAAAGCGTAATATTGTTACGGTAAAAAAAAAAAAAGAATCAGAGGTATGTTCTCCAAATTTAAATCAATAGTAATTAAAAATCAGGAGGAGTGGTGATATGAAATGATTAATTATAATAGATGCAGGAAGAATAACGATAATTACACAAATGACAAGTCACAATATGATATTGGACCAAGTCGAGGAGACGTGCGCGATTATATGGATCAAGAAAATGTACTTACCACAAATCGATTGACTTTGACCTTCGGTGTGCGCGGAGACTCGTTAGCCTGCGAGCCAAGGGACTCGAAACGAGCTCTAAGACTGCTCGCCGATTCTATGCTGGACTGCTCGCCCGTACCCTGGGCCATCTCCATTTCGGCGACATGATGATTGCTGACCTTGCCATCGGTCTCCTCCCAGTGCTCGAACTTAGCACGTAGAGTCTTGGCGCGCACCGCATTCTGCGCTTGTTTCAAGAATTCGTCCTCTACCTAGCTCGATAACAGGCAAAATGATTCCGTGAATTATAGGGTGGAGTCGTGTCGATCGGGAATAAAGAACTGTTTTTCCGAAATTTTGAATTTTGGAACAATGACCTATCTCAAAAGTTTGTGTCGACTTTTTAAAATTATCTAATAACGTTTAGGCAGCCTTGCTCTGGCCACTTTCGAGATTTTAGTAGATCATCGCATTTATTAATAATTAGGAAATTATATATATCTGGCGTGAAGAAAACTTGTTAGAAAAGAGCAAAAAGAAGAGACAGACTAAAAAAATTTCAGAATTGAAATCAATAATTCAGTCTTATTTTAACATTACATTTTACTTATCTGATTAGTAATAAGGCTCATAAATTTCAGAAAAACTAAAAAAAAAGAGGGTTACGAGCCAAAAATTATTATATAAAAACAGAACAGGATAAAGATTACATTTTACACAAGAAATACAAAATAATATCTATAGAAATAGAAAGTTTTGGAAAGACACTAATTCGATGTGTTATGAGACATGCAACTTTTATATCGTTCTTATTATAATCTTTCTCTTATATATTTATATCTTTTGTATTTCTTTAAAATTTTTCAATTTTTCGTTAAAAAGTCTTATGCGAACATAAACCTTATCAGAAGCACGGACATAGTTGGGATCTCTCTCCTCAGCGCTTTCATCACCATCGGTTTCTTCGCCCTCTTCATCCTCGCCTTCCTCCGAGTCCGAGGCCGTTGCTTTGGCGAATTTATCCTCAGGGGGCGGTGTGAAACGTTTCAAGGGCTTCGGACCCTCCGGCAGTTCTTCCTTGCATGCATTCTCTTCCATCTGCCGAAAGATGGACAGCATCTTCCTCGCTGTGTCTGTGCGCACCACCTCGTCCACCCTGTCATCGGCTCTGACTACGTCTGGATCGCGGTAAATCTCGCGATCCGGTGAATCCATCTGCGAAAGAAAATACATGTTTAATAATCAAATGTAAGTTGAAAAAATCACATAACTTCATTATTATCCCGTTATAAAGCAATTTTATAATTCTACTTAATTATTATTTTTATATAAGGTAATATTGAACTGTGTTTCGTAATAAAATTATTTCTTTTATTTTCGGAACATCACGGAAAAAAACACAGCTGAAAATTTCACTGATTCAGCAAATCTACAGTCGTAATATACAGACAGTCAATTTCTATGTTAAAATAACAAAATTAATGAATAACATTAGTGATTTTTTTGTTAAACCATCAAATCTTTTTAGCTGTCGATGTTGAATTCGCGTAGTAAATTATAGGTTTGCTGTAGCATCCAATTAATTTTTTCCATGATGTATTGATTTTATGATGAAAGAATGTATTTCTAATTGATAATTCTTTAATAAATTTTTTCGTCCCGAATACTTTCAACCATACTCGAAGTATATTATTGTGAAATTATCTTTTAATTAAATTATATAATTCAAAACCATATATTTTTTTAATTTAACGCGAATAGATTTTGAAATACAAAGTAATTATTTTTATCAGAGAAATAAAATTAAATTGTACAAATATATTTTATATGTAAAGAATTAATTGTATTAATTATTTTAATAATTATTAATAATTTATGTAAGTATTTAAAGTTTTTGTACATTAATTATGTTTCTTTCTTTTTTCTCATACTTTTTTATAGACGTCAATATATCACGAAATTATTGCAAGTTGAATATATCTTCGTGTATCAACATATTCGTTTATTCACATAATTGATGCTGTTTCGAAATTCGTAGAGAGAGATTATATAAGACGGACAGATGATATTCAATTAAGAGCACACCTATATTGTTTATCGTTTGATAATTTTAAACTGAATGGTTGAATCATAATACATCGTCGGAGGACTCAGCTAGGCCGAAATGTTTCTTTTTACAAATCGTATCCGGCATGAGTCATTCGAGGATTCTGAGTCAAGCGTGAGTGATACGGTTATAAATCTTATGTAGAAAGTACATATATAGATCTTTCTTTTTTTTAATAAAAAATATTATATTATAATGATATCAGTAAACGTAATATATTTTTGAGAATTAAATAACATTTTAAAGAAAAAATAGCTATGTTCATGGATAAAAAATTCAATTGCACTCAAATTACAATCTTGAAAAAAATCAATGTGGAAAATAAATTAATAAGAAGCCATGCAACATACACAAGTAAATTAATAAATATTAGCATGCTTTGCATATTTCAACTAATTGTAAGATAATAATTGTAATATAAAAATTTCTATTATATAAAACAGAGTCTTTCTTCTCGAGACAAAGGTTTTGACTCTTCTCAATCGCCTGATCGGTCTGTCCACGTTTATTACTATACCTGAACCCAAGTGGGTCAGGTAAGTTGAAAACCTGATTGCTGATCACGTAGAGTGATCGAAGGTTGTTCGCGTCTTGCAATATTTTAGGAAGACCACCCTTGCGCTAGTTTAAATCGGGATGGGATTAGGACTGTTAATGAATCGATTTTAGTTAGACAAAAGGGTTGTGGTACCCGCTTCAAGGTTAGCATTTAATGACGATAAATTGACAAGTTTAAGAGTGGTATACGCACTCTGTAACGGTCAATTGCCGTCACTTGATCTGTTCCATTCGCTTCTCGTTTATGCCAACGAATCAGTACTGTAGCAAAAGTGTGAGTCTCGTTTATTTTGAAAACGAAATTTTTAAGAATTTAAAATAAGCACGTTATATATATAATTAGAAGGAAATAATTAAATTTTTAATTTAATAAATTTCATTTATTAAATTAAAAATTTAAATCTTCTGCGTTTCAATTTTCCTTCAAAATTGACATGAACTTTCCAGACAACCCAATATGAATTAAAGACGAAAAAAGCGACTATGTTCACGTTTCAATCATTATTAATTAATCGTTTTTAATTATTTTGCAATGGAAAGATAAAATCAAAAAAAGATAACTAAAATTACATTGTAAATTACAACAATCAAATTCTCTCTCCGAAATATCTAAAGATACTAAGATCTAAGTATCTAAAGTATCTACTACATATTCTAAAGATTTTTTCGCATTGAACACGATGTCGTTGCACAATAAAATTGCACATCGTTGTAGACTTTAAAAGCAAGTTTTCATTTTGCTGTAAAAAAAAGTGTTAAAAACGACTAAAAATCCATTTCACCTCAATATCCTGATGGGCTATGCAAATTCTGACAATTATGTTCAATGCGAAAAAATTTTCAGAAAATTTATGTCACTTCGAAGAGAAAAAAAAGTGATTTTTGTTGAACAGTATTATTGAATAAATTAAAGATATTGAATAATAAATAAACATCAAATTAATCCAGTGAGAATTTTCGCTTGAAAACGTCAGAAAATGGAAAACCGATAATTCCCATGCAATATTAGATTATATGACAGCATTTAGTTTTGAATTAAGGAAATCTCCTAGTAAATCGTCACATAAATGAATTATGTTATTTATTTTTTAAATTAAAATTGTAAATGCGAATATTACAGAAAATTATATAAAAATATATTAATAAATTAATAAAAAAATTAACTGTAAAAATGGTGATTACTGTCGCAAAGATAGTTCTGTATTCTCTAAAATGAAAAACACTTCGAAAAGTGTCTCTAAATTATGCTTGAGAAATCTCTAAATTAAAAATGCTTGAGAAGTCTTTAAATTAACTAATCTGAAGATTACAATTTTATTTTTAGTTCTGACAAAACAAAAAGAAAAAATGCTTAGTAATATCTTAGTCGGATTTCGCGCTATGATAATAGAGTCGAGAGGATCTACGGGAGAGTACTTCCAACGGAATTCCATAAAATCATCAGTCCAGAAAGGATATTTGATCACACGGTATCCCTCTGCCGGCACGTCAAGCGGCAAATCAAGCCACGTCGAGATTGCGCCCCCCCGAGCGACGTCCGTTCCTTCATCGTCGACGGAAACGCTCTTATAATCACACGACGAAGAGATCTCGATTGTGTATTCATCGGAAGCTACTTACGAACAATTAACAATTCGATGAAAACACATTGCGGTTGCACATATTAATCATTCGCTCTAAATATCTGAGGTAATTGAAACTTTCATATGAAAGTCTCACGCAATTTTCGCTATATCTGCAAGCGCATCAGAATGTATCATTCAATACAGAATAATTTATAATTATGATTTCTCGTATGTTAACAAATATACAGATAATATTCCGAAAAATACGATTGCGATTTATACATTGAAAAAAAATCTTAATTTCAAAGAAATATTTCTTTGTTCGTATTCAAAAAAATTATTTCTTTGAAACAATATCTTATTGTACGAAATATCTTATTTTCAAAGAAATTTTCAATGATCCAAAGAAATAATTTTTTTTAATACGAGCAAAGAAATATTTCTTTAAAATTATGATTTTTTTCAGTGTGTTATAATATATATAAATCGAATGCAAATGTAATTAAACAATTAATCGATGTGCAAATTAATTATTTGAAATTAATTATTTTCAATTGTTGTAGCGACCATGAATTGAAACTCAAACATTGCAATTTTTAGAAAGCTTGGATATTAGATATCAAGTACAGTACTCCGAAAAATTCAATCGCGCAGCAATACTCCGAAGTAAATGGAACGTTCATGTATATGAAGTGTATAATTTTTATGGAAAGTAGAACACAATATTCCTCCTCGAAGAAACTTCGATTACCAAACGGTATCTTGAAAAATTGATTGCAATCGCAGAGCATAATTAACCGCCGCATCGAATGCTTTCCAATTAATTGCCAGAAAATCTTCCTGTCGCTCTTATAAATAAATATGTCATTCATAAAATATTAATAAAAAAAAAAATCTTCAATTATAACCGGAATCCTGAGTATTAAGTCTCCAATTTCTCTCACAGAAGTCTCTCAAAGAAGAATATATAAATTATTCGCAGATCGTTAACTATGAACCGAAACGCTCATTATATCCAGGCATTAACGATTCATCAGCTTGCTTTTTGCACCACTTTTTCGGAATGTGTCGCTCAGAAGAAACTTCGGGTAACTAGGTATGTTAAAAGCACAGTATTTCCTATCGCAATTACAGAACCGAAGCGTTTGTCGGACCGATAATTACCTTTCCGTGATTATTAAAGCCCCTTTGGCGAGCGGAACGAGACTGAGCGTCGTCGTTCAAACTGCGCGAGTCCGGTTCGCCACTTCGGCGCGCTTCTTGAGGGAGACTCTCCTCCTCTTCGATTCGTGAGAAGTACGAACGGCGCGACAGCCGGTTGCTATGCCGTTCACAAGAGGATAGGGGACCGACGGTGTGTGCCCTCCTCTCTTGGGAATGTGTGTGTGTGTGTGTGTGTGTGTGTGTGTGTGTGTGTGTATACGTGTGTGAGTTACTGCGAGAGGCCTCGTCGCGCGTCGCGCCTTCCCTCGGTTAAGGTTCCCGGGCCCAACGCGCCGGTACTCGGTCCGCTTGTGTTGCCCCGCTTGCTCTTCACGAATGGAAGGATGTAGGAATACTAACGGTAAAAGTATGGCTGCTGCTGCGCTGACCACTTCGGGAGGGGGTTCAAGGACAGCCCGGTTTGTTGGAATCGACTCGTTGTGTCGTGCGTTCCGCGCGAGGCGCATTGCCGCCGGTTCCCCAAGAGATGCACGAGGCCCCCTTTTATTAAGCCGTATTCGCGAACGACAGTGAGACTTTGATAATTATCGATAAACTCGCATCTCATGGCGGGGATGTATCGATAGATGAAAGAAGATACGAGGGGTTGCTATCTCAGTAAAAAATTTATCATGCATGAATATGTATAAATATGTATAAACATACATAAACATGTATAAGTATTCAAAAACATATATATTATATGAAATATGTCCGTATATGTTTATATATCCTCCTTTTAAAAAGGTAATTTTCGCACTATTTGTTTTAGAAAAAAATCAAGTTTGAAAGAATGTAAAAAAATTACTTACGTATAATTATATATAAATTATGCATCATTATGTATGAGCAATTTTTTTACATTTTTCCAAACTTGCTTTTTTCTAAAAAATAAACAATGCGAAAATTATTCCTTTAATTATTTTTTATGTTTTCACATTACTATTATTATTTCTATTTCACTAAAAAATAATTTTACAAAAGAAAGAAGAATGTATGAACATGTATGGACATATATTTTTCATATATAATTATACATGTTATGAATATTTATGCGTTTATGTATGTTTATATATATTTATACATATTCATGTATAAAAAATATTCTTGCGAAATAACAATTTCATTCTTTGAACTCTAATACGAATATTTCATTTCTAAGATATATATATACAATATCGGAAATAAGATTTATGATTCGAGCGGAGTACTTTCTTTGTTGTAATAGGAATATCAAAAATGTTATTTATAAAAGATACAATTTAAATACCTTATTACTTTTTTATCATTCGAAAAATTTTTATCTGTAAAATATCAAAAAATTATAAGAATCAAAGCGAATGCAGGTGTTACTTAATCTTGGACGCGATCTAAAGTAAAAAAGAATAATTAAATATATTGTAAGACTCGGCTTTACTCGGAATAAATTTAATTATATTAAAACGAGAAAGTCCTCTTCAATTTGAAAAAGGTCGAAACGTTTGAAAATTGTTATTAAAAGTTGTTTATTATTTCAATAAAGTTTTATTATAGCATAAGTTATCTTGATAGGCTCTAATAGCTCTTCTCGTTTTAATATAAAAAAATTAATTGCAATTTACTTTTTAATTATATAGATATGGCAATCATAATTTTAATAATTATAATTATCTTTAACCAAAATTTGAAGTTAATATTTTAGATAAATTTTGAGCAATTAAGGGATAAATGTTATTTAATGGAGAGTTATGTAATCGGAAAATAACACAAAATCACGTTAGTGTTTTTAGTAGTCAAACAAAAAATAGAATGTACATAAAATGCGGATGATTAAAGACATGATGCAATTAAAACAGTCAAACATGTATGAGCGCACACATTTCTCCTATCTTAATTGAAAATGAGATCACGCTATTTCTCGGCAAACCAATATCTCCTTTTACAATATGAATTATCTCTTATATCTGTAATAATAATACAAATCGTGTTAAGATATCTTTACATTTCTTTCTTTATCAATAACCTGAAAATCCTTCAAGTTAAATCGATAATAATATCATTGATAAATGCAATATACTCGAAATACAATATAAATATATCTATCTGTACACGATAATAATACTTTCACAAATAGAAGAGAGTCATTATTTCAAATAATTCTCCAGCAATAGACTATAAAAATTTTATATATGTCTATTTTTGTTAGTCTAATAATAGTCAGTCATTATTAAATAAATAATATAATTTAAGCGATAAAAAGCGATGAAATTATATTCTTCAATTCGGATATTTAATTATTCCTGCTTACTACATTCTTATTAATTCCAGAGACGATAAAAATTCTTAAGCAAAATTACTCCATCAAATAAATCATGTAGTAAATCATGATTACCGTTTAATTAGTTGACACGCATAAGATTGTTAGAGAAAATTAACACAGACATGAATCAATCAACGACAACAAAGTCGAAGGATCGAACCTTGACTTGACCGTCTCGAGGTGGCGTAATGCGAAATTGCTTCCGCTGTTTCTCCGGTTCCTTATAGGACTCGAAAAATTTGAACTTGTTCGAAATTTCCGACGTTTCTACTTGGATCTCCTCGGTCGCATCTGAGCTGCGCACTACATCGTCTGAGACTTGACGACCCATGAACGCCTTTCTCACAAATATTTCAGAAATTATCATTACTAGACGCGTTATTGACATTGCATGTGCGTTTAGTGAAAAACTTCACGTTCAAAAACAAGATACATTTGCCTCAAAGATACTTTCTTTGTTTAATTATATTATTTTGAATTTTATACTAATCAATGTCACAATCTAAAAACCTTTTTTTGAATAGAAATTATATTAAACAAATTAGTACTTAAATTTTTCATTTTTATAGATACCTATTAAGAAAAAATACATATTTAAAAAATTTTAGAATTAATTTTCCAAGCTATAAGTGTTTAAAAGACTGTATATAAAAAATAGAAACATTCTATTCTCAGAATTTTAACAGACGAATTCATGTTTTAATAATTTTCGTGAATCATGAGCTTAATTAAAAATATAATATGTATAATAGATAAAAGTCTGAAAAGATAAAAGACCGAACTTACATCTCGTGCACGTCGTGAGGTCTCGGTTGGCGTTTTTGGATGAACTGGCGTCACTGGACGTCCTGTTTTTGCTGCAGTCGCGTCCAGTTCCAAAAAGAGTGATCGGGACTTCCTGCTGATGCCTGTATTTTGCGTGACCAACATATATTATTATAAATATAGATTATCATAAATCATTCATAAATTTAAACTGTCAATTAGTAAAGATACTTTCATCCTGCGCAATTCGACAACTCATAACTCTATTTTTGTTCGGAATAAAAATAATTTCTCATATAAAGTCGACAAATAATAATATGACCTCTTAACACAGTCTTCTATTCAGTAGAGAGTTTTTGCGCGGAACGTCTCGTATTATAAGAAATACTAGGTTACTTTCTTTTGAGTTTTTCTCTCGAAAGAGTTCATATAAGACAGATATAGATTAATAACTGTAAGATCTTTAAGAATTGTTAATCTATTATATAAAAATTATTAAGTGCCTTCATTCGCGCGTAACTATGAATAACTATTTATATCTTCAAAGTATGAAAGGGTACAAACGACGAAAACATTTGTTATATATTTCTCACTGCGACTGGACTTTCGTTACATGGGTACTTCTAAGTTCATCACGTAATTCCTTTCCATTCCTATATAATTACAATTATATGTAATGTAACAAGTAGTGCGATTAAATATTTCGTCAGTCTATTTCAAATTACCATCTCGACGTCTAGGTCTTTTCGCAATTCTCTAGTCTTCGCGATTCGCAAGTCATTTAATTACTGAAAGTCCATTTTATACCTGCTGCGATCACCTCCTCGTCGGCTTTCTCCGGTTTCGGTTTACTATCAGTTTCGTCGTCTGACGCCGCGATTGGCTCGCCCCGTTCAAATCTCTCTTTGAGGGAGCGAGCGTGAGTAGTCGAATGCTGAATCTCTTCTGCTGCGTTTATCTTCGTAACACGGTCGCTTCCAGCTACTGCTTGTTGATACATTTCCTTCATTTTACCCTGTTTACCCTGTAAAAGAAAGAAAAGAGAAATTAAAACAATTAATTTTTAAAATTAAATTCAGCAAATACAAAGAAAAAATCTGTCGTATTTAAAGAGCAGATTTCTAAGGAAAAAACTGGTCAATATATGTATAAACGTTGCGAAAGAAACATGTGCAGCTGTTCTCTGACAGTTCAATTTACTTTTATGACATTACACGCGTAATGATAATAAAAAAGATACAAACATCTGCGTTAATATTAAAACCATTATAACGGACGTGACTTTTTTTCTCAAACAATAATATCATAAAATAATAACAAAAAGCTTACGATCTTATTGTAATATTATCCTTTATAGTTTTTATAAAATTACTGAAATTACCAAGAACAATCGTGAACGGATTCCTGCGATTTCTTCCTTCCTAGCCTCGCGCTGAACCTCGCGTCTTCCCTGCTGGCTGGTGCTCTCCCAACGATTTTTGATGTCGTCCATCTTTGAAAAGCTGATCGGTCGTTCGCGTGTAGTGCGTTTTGACTTTACGATTTCAGTTTCCACTTCTAAAATGGAAAAAATAAACACAATTATATACTTTGATTTTTATAATCAATCTCCTAATACTATAATATACTTTATACTTTATACTTAACTTTCATAAATTAAATGTAAATTGGTAAGACTTGTTAAAATTTAATATTTTTTATTTGTGAATATTCAATTCATGTACATAAAAGAAATACGCAGAGTGAGGATAATAAATATCATCTCAAATAACAAGCTAATATAACATATGTGAATCAAAATCATCAATAAAAGATATAAAAGACGAAGTCGTAAGTCACAGATCAATGACATGACTTATTACAAAATTATAACACAAATATGATGAGATACATAAGCTTATATGATACGTAACATAAGTTAAAATATAACTTATTTTTCTATGCAATAACTAACATTGTTCAAACTCTATCCTGCATCCACATAGATGTGTATTAATTGGACGCATGACAGTCAAAGTGTTGACATATAAACAATTTTTTTATCAGAGACAGATTAAAAAATTTGTATTTAAATTGAAAATTTATATTCAACAAGTCTAATAAATCTATAGATTTTTATTGCATATTTTTTTTTTAATATTGATGATATTTTCTTATTGATTACCTTCGGTTTCTTCTGCCTCCACTTCATCCTCACTTTCGCTGGACTCTTCATAAGGTATGCCATTGAGAGATTCGTCTGCCACGCCAATGTCCATGCCTTTCGCTTGAAATCTGGATGAGAAAATGTACGTAGTAGTTATAGATATTTTGCACACGATGGATGCGCCGTTACGCTTGTTGTAACACATTTACTCTGTATTTTCTCGAGTTTCAAATTACAAAAACGAAACTGCTGACTGCTGAATACTGTGAAAATCTCGTTTATATTGACTTGTATCCACATATATAATGTAATAAAATTATCAATTTATATTCAAATTAACAATCGCTATAATAAAAATCTGAATATAATCACAATCTTGAAATTTTTTAATACGTTTTTTGATAAATATACTAATTATAAAAAATCAAAATCGTAATATAATTATAATGAGAGAGAGAGAGAGAGAGAGAGAGAGAGAGAGAGAGAGAGAGAGATTATATTTATATAAGTGGAACAATTTCGCGAATTAAAATTTTTATTATTTTTAATTAGATTTGAGTTATTACTCTAATCCTCTATGTAAAAAATATATGCAATAATTAATAATTGTATGTCGTTTCGAGAAATGCCCATCCGGCGAAATTACAGGCTTATTATTATCTTCAACAGAAGTAAATCTGTGTCGCAGTATATCATGTTTTAAAATTATTGCTCGTAGAGAGAGCAGTATATTATTGAAGAAAGACACTTGACTTTACTATCTAATGTTTATATATATATTTAAACATATGTATAAACAGTCGAGAAAATTTTAGAAATTTTATGTATAGTATGAATATACAGATTTTTTAATTAAAGTAATTTATTCTGTAAAAATATTTCAAGAAATATGTCATCCGATTACTCACTTGGCCAGTTTACTAAGGATGCTGGGTGATCTCTTGACGGCGATTTGTGATGGTGATCGTTCGATCTCATTGGTGTTCTCCGTACTAGCTTTCTCAAAGACCTGGAAGCGCGACTTGACGTTTAAGCTTGAAAGTTCCTCGAGTCCCAGATCAGGTTTGTCGGAAGCTGAAATTCAGATGGAAACCTTCTTACTTCTTCTCTTTTAGCGATACTCATAGCTGATCAAACATTTCAACACCTCTCTTTTTTTTCTTCGACGGTAAACTTGTTAGACCACTCGAGAACGACAATTCGCGGAAAAAGCAAAGTTGCACACACTACACGAAAATTTTGAAAAGCATCGGAGAGAGTTAAAAGAACTCATATTGAGAAGAGAGAGAGTTGAACCTATCATCGTGACATGATAACATACTCAGGTCAAACATGAGCCACAGCGTGGCTTTAATTTCAAACATCGATCATGTTACGACTCTTACAAATTTCTTACATTCTTCCCATGGATGTCATCGCATACCATTGCGACGAGATATTATCCAATTGTTTACTCTCGAGAGCTATTGCTATATCATATATAACATAATATCATTCTTACGATTTACGATCGCACATCTCTCGCAAATAACAATATTTATTTCTTCATTTCAATTCGCTAGCAATTTTGCAAACTATTACATGTATGACTCTCATATATTTAAATAAATTTTTTAAAAATTCTGACCGAGTTAAATGCGATAAGGAAGACACACAGGCAGCACGTATGTACAATATGTTAAAATATACTAATTAAGGGGATTTTGCTCTTGAGTCTAATACATGGAGCGTTAAGAATATCATCATTAAATGGCCACTTTTTCATGCAGACAAAAAATTAATTTTAATATCGAGAGCAGGATTATGTACAAATTACATCGTAATTTTATGGAATATATCAGTAATTTATATTGCTTTGTAGATCCCGAGAAATATATGACTAATGAAATGCTCGGCGTTAATAATGATTCATGTCCCATTTTATTAATCGGCACACCAATGCGGGACACGTTACGCGATTTGATGCACAGATAAATTTTCGATTCAGCAACCAATTAACGATTAAAAAGCCACTCGCAAAAGGGACACATTGAGCATTAGGAGCAATCGCCAGATCGCGTTCCACGCCACTCACACACGTCGAACGTTGTTGTTGCTGTTGTCGTTACCTCTGACCACATCGGGCGGCAATTCTTTCGGCTCGTTCTCCCGTATGATCAGCTCCGGCTTTCGAGGTCGCACTGCGGAGTTCACAAGACAACTCTTTGTCACATTAACGATACCTCTCGTTCTCTCAGCGCTCGGACGCTTGCGCGTAATTATACGAGGGGGAAGAAAAGAAAAGAGAACTGTAATTCTAGCCCCTGTGCTAAGGGGCTTAATAAACTGGGTCTTAGACGACCCACTGATGGTACTCGGGTCCCCTAAGTTATGTCCGCACATTAAAGCAACATTACATTGTATATCTGAATTCCATATACTATTGTCTTCATTGTAGAGAACTGGGGACATATTTCTTACCATTATTATTTATCTTTACATTAAAGATGCAATCTTATTTTTAATTATGAATTTGTAAAACTATATATATAGATAGCGCTCTTAAAAGAAAACAAGGGACACATGAATATTTATAATTATGATTTGCAACGACTGAAATTATTATATTAATCAAGCACGTCGTTAAAGAAACAACTGAAACTTACAACGCCAAGAAAACAAACTTTATCTCTTCCAGTTTTCTCGTTCATTCCCGTCGAAACATATTTATGTTTTTATGTTCCTTTAATACACTCTGACTGAAGATTGGGGCTCACTTTGTCTGCACAAAGTTCGCCTCAGAGAGATTAGCGATGAGATGGAGAGATGATAGAATCCACGGTTGGTCGTTTAAACGTCCACGTTAAGATTTAACGAGCAATTCGCAAAGACCATTTAAGCAGATTAATATTGCACAGGATGGTAATCGTCTTACCAGGTTGGTCGGACTCCTCGACCGGTTTCGGTTGGAAGAGTTCCTTGAAGTGTGGCTTACAGTAGAGTTTACTCTCGTGGCTCTCATAATTGTCCACATTGAGCTGCTTACTACACTGCACGCACCGGAAGCAATTCTTGTGCCAGACCAGACCCTCGGCCTTTGTCTGCTCCATTTGGAACACGACCTTGCCACAGCTGCGACAGTTCGTATTCGCATCGGCATTCTGACCCACCTGCAATGCACCAGTGCGCCAATTAATTAGCACCTTCACAACTTTCACTCTCCCCTACAAACGAGAGGACGATCTCTAGGTATTCGATTCGATTCAATTAATACACGCGTATTAAAGTCCCATACTTGGAATTTAACGCTAATTAATCATTCAAAAAATAATAATTTTATATTAAAGCGAGTTTAATTTAGGAAAGATTTTATTTTCGAATGTAGAATAATATCGAAGGGATTAGTTACACGCAAATTGTTCTACATTTATTTCGTTTCAAACTACTTCTAAGTATGACTACAAATTACGATTGTAAAATAAAAATTGTAGCAACAAATGTTTTAAATTTAATATAAAATAAATAATAAACACTTACTGCATTCAGCTGCTGTTGGACTTTTCCCGCATCAACCGAACGCACATGAAGAACTTTCTTGCTAAGAGCGTCGAATTTATTAAAGCTCGATTTCTGTAAATACAAACGGCAGAAGTATTAGATAATAAGCACTACAGTCAAGAAGTTTAGAAAGAAGAAAAAAATAAAAAAAAGACCCGAAAATACGTTCCACAGGCATTTATTTTTTTCTAGCATTATTAACGAAGCAAGAAAATTTTTCAGCATACCTTTATTATTGTCAAAATAAAATGCAAGCAGAAATAAAAGAAAAAATAAGCAGATTCAAACAAGTCATCATCGCGCAATTGGAAACTGTACGTGCAAAATTATTAAATGATTACCAATTTATTCGCATATATGATTGAAATATTCAATTTGTAATAATTGTAAAAAAGAAGATAATATTGTTATGTAATTATGTAATAACACAATACTATAAACTCTATTTCTATATTACAATTTCTGATTTGCACGAGGATGACATTTATTTTTCGAGGAAAGATCGTACAAAGGTCTAAAAACGGATAAAATCAATCGCAAGCTAAACAAGCGAAGCATATATTTTTATCTTTTCTTAAGAACAATAAAAGCAATAAAAAAAAGAGGAAAAAATTCGGGTTGTACCTCTGTACGAACCGACCTTATCATGCTAAGGTTATATCTCTCTTTTCCTCATCGAGGATCTTACCTCGAGCTTCGGCTTCTCGCATGCTCGATCCTTGTCCTTACCCTCGTTCGTTAAACTTGCCAAACTACAATAGGAAGCCCTCTGTCTCCCCGGGGGTTGGTTTCAGTGATTGTCAATTTAGGGTTTCACATGCCAGGAAGAGGTAACGTCGCGCAACAATGAGAAGAAATGTACCGCGCGTTAGTATGATTTGGTGTAAAAAGAGACACAGGCGGATAAGATACACGGTAAGCCGATTACTGTGTCTCAGGACGCAGCAGTTAGCAGATTTGCAACATTCCGCAGTTATGGTGTCATCGAACGTCACGGTCGGAAATTTCAAAATTGCGATTTACGCATTGGCAGAAATATCCCTCACGCGGTTGAGGACGAACGTGCGTTCTCGGAGACAACGCGACGATGCCTCAGGCTAATATTTACTTTCGAGAGTATCAATTTGTTCCTTTTTCCAAGCCAACATTCTGTCGTACATTCAATAAAATGCATTATGTTCTTGAGACGAACGTATACAGGAGAAAACGATTTTCCACGAAGAATCGTCGATGGATCTTTAATATTGCGGCTTAATATTAAAGACATCTGCTATACGAAGCATCGCGTTGCTAATCTTTTCCTAATGCAATTGAATATTGTATTCGCAGCCTGTTTCTCGCGTTGAATTATTTACGATTTCTTGTGTAAAGAAAAAAAAAAGAAATCTTTTTTTTTTCCGTGGCAAGCAAGAAAATAAGCTACTTTTGACTCGTACGTGTGAGGCGTTTTAATCGCTGATCGAAGCTGTGCCAACTGCTGCGTCTGATGACCAAGGAAAAGGGGAACGAACAAAACGAACGGACAAAGAACAACATTGGAAGTAGCGCAGAATTACCGTTCAATCACGTCGGACGATCACTTTGCGTCACGAATTCACTCTTTATCTCAAATTGGCTTTGCTTCGGCATCATACGTTATTAAATGTATCATGGTGCATTCCTCGGTAAAATAATCGCAAACTTTTAGTTGGTCTACATTATCAATCTTCTGACGCAAGTACTTTATTAACGCTTTTAAAAATATATTTTTATGCGATGTATCATGTTAACAATCAAGTTATTATGCTGTATTACGTTCTCTCTTTTCTTAATTATTGGAATAAAAGGAATTTTAAATTAAACATTATCAGTTATGTAATTTTTAAGTATGAATAAAGAAAAGACTCATTAAAATGGAAAGTGCCACACTTTAAACGCCGTTATTTCAATTCTTGAATTTCTTGAATTTTAATTTAATTTAAAAATGTAAACATCTCGCGTTTATTATTCTTTAAAATTTTTAGAGTAAATCTCACTCTAAAGAGTGAAATTTCACTGTTCAAAGAATGAACATTGAGTTATTCTTTATTATAAGACTGGCTCAATTTTCACTCTTTAAAATAAGATTCTATTTAAAGAATTCATAAAGAATAATATTTATTTATTACATGCTTATTATTTTTTTTATTTGTTTTATTTCAAAAGCGATTATAAAATTAGCTTGTTTTAATTTCGCACATTTAAAATAAAAGTAATGGCTGACGTTTCTTTGCAACGTTTAACGAGTGTTCTGATCTCGATTAACTAATTCACGGTTCACGAGGAAGGTCGACCCGTTTTTCCCACTTTTCTCTCCGCATTTGCGAAAAAGCACTCGAAATTCCGACAGAATGCATAGGTATTCTAGATGGTGTCTTCTCATCGGGAGGTGAGCTTCACATCAAAATCCCGATAACCGCGTGACCGATAATACAGGGCAAAAAACTTGTAATCGACATCCGGACCCTGCGTTTCCCCGTAATCGGCTGAAGTAGGGCAAATAAGTAGTCTGTTATTATCAAGTCGGCCCTTCCATAAATGGAGAGACGGCATTCGCAGCGTGACGGTAAACTACTCCGGCATACGTGCGGCAAGTTCTCGGAATGCATAGCGGTGTACTTGACCGAGCATTTATTCCGGAGAATATTTATCCGAATATTTTTACAAAGATCTTTTTATATGCTATTCTTCTTCATTAAATTATTCCAAAAAAAATTGTCATTTGTATGAGGATTTTCAGCAATGTGAACGTTCGAATACAACGTTCAAGCTACGGATGTTGCGTTCGCTTCACTTTACATATTCGCAATTAATGCAAGCGCGGTAAATGCGTAATCAGCCGCCTCCAAGTACCGTAGGATAGAACGATTACACGCCCACGCGAGAGGTTCTATAGATCGTTACTCCCGAGTAGAAATTACCGATTGTGAACTTTGATAAAGTTCTAGTTTCATTAGACTGAGTTCGCGCTTTATTCCATTCGCTCTAACGTTATTCCATTCGCTCGACTGACTTCAATGTTGTTCGTGCCGTTTACGAGAGGTACTTACGAGGGCCTTGACCGATACCCTGGCGAAGACGGGTGCGTCTCTGGTAAACCGCGAGTAACCCTGCTCGCATACTCTCAGATCACCCATAGACCTCGCCTTCTACGATCGGGGCGAGAGCATCAACGAGAATACAAATTAGCGGTGAGTCGTTTCGAGAGACGCGAGCTCTGTGAAATATTGATCGCAAACGATAATGGAGCCGTCTCACCAAATAAGATTTCATAATCGTTAAACGTTTTTTAAAATTGCCAAAAATATTTCATATTGCAAAAAAATATAAAAATTTCAAATTTTGATGATATCTCATTATTTTATTTTATTTTAATTGCCACGAAACCTCGTAACATTATTTGATATGACGTTAATTAAGATAACGAAATTATGCTTTGTTGGAAATAAATTTTATTATCTCGCGAAAAAGATAAAAATACTTTTTATAAAGATATAATTGCTCAGAAAACAATTGTGCTATTATTAGAAATTTGTGTCACAGAACTCGCGCTCTAGACTATTAGTATATTATCAGGATGTTTATTTGCTTGGAATTTACGTAATATTGTCGCCACATTATAAAGCAAATGTCGAAAATGATTCATGCAACAACAAAAGTTACACAATGCATTTTTCATTCCTGTCATACGCCGGAAATTAATTTGCAACATCGTTAATAAGCATTCGCATGCTTGCAAATTTTGTCTAACAGTAATCGATCCCTTCTTACTTTATTATCATAAAAATCATATAAATAAATAAAAAACACCAATTATTAAAATTTGCAAAATATTGCGAAGTATAAATGAAAATTTATTCAAGTACACACACTCAGTAAAAAATTCTTCATGCATGAACATGTATAAATATGTATAAATATACGTAAACACGCATAAATATTCATAAATATGTATAATTACATATGAAATATGTCCATACATGTTCATATATTTTTTCCTTTTGTAAATTTTTTTTTAGTGTAATAAAAATAATAATAGTAATGTGAAAAAAAAAATAATTAAAAAAGTAATTTTCGCACTATTTGTTTAAAAAAAAACAATCAAATTTGTAGAAATGTAAAAAAATTATTTATGTATAATTAAATATAAAATTATGCATAATTATGTATGAGCAATTTTTTTTTACATTTTTCCAAACTTGTTTTTTTCTAAAACAAAAACTGCGAAAATCTCTTTATTACTTTTTATTATGTTCACATTTCTATTATTATTTCTATTACACTAAAAATTAATTTTACAAAAGGAAAAAGGATGTATAAACATGTATACACATATTTTACGTACATATAATTATACATGTTTATGAATATTTATGCGTGTTTATGTTTATACATATTTATACATATTCATGCATGAAAAATTTGTTACCGCATTTATCAGGAAAACGCGGCTACTTCAGATAATTATCATAAAAAAATAATCTTCTTTTCTAAAAGAATCTTATTATCTTCTTAAATATAACTTTAAGATTATTATCTCTCATTGAAAAAAGATTTTATGAAAAAAGATTGTTAATTTAAATAATTTAAATTAGCCAAAATTTGCATGGCTGTTATAACATCACTTTCAATTACATTCGACCAGGACAAAAAACAAACACGAGACATTCGCGATACGTGTTTGGATGAATTAATGCAATATACAAACCTCTTCAATTTCCATCGCATGGTTCGCTTTCCCAAAAGTTGCCTGATCGCCGTCACTCATGTTCGAGATGTCGCCAAAGCTGCGACACTGTTAGTGACAAAATATATATCTGACAAATGTATCACATATGCTATTAACGAAGCAGATTTGTAGCGAAAGCGTACATTAATTAAACCGATATCCTGTCGATCGAGAAAATTGGCCTTTTCAATTTTATGGAGAAAAGACTATTACTCCGTCATGACGGAGTAATTGGCGACACTATCTAGTGTGTCTTCTTCATATGTCTCCTTTCATTGCAAACGCGATCATGCCGGCTACATGGTTGTTACTTACTAATTGCTTGATGGACACGCCAGTCGCTATCCGCTCCCTGCACAACTTCTCCTGATCACTACGACTTGTCTCCGAGACATAGTTCTGTGTCTGCATGCGCAAAAAGAAAAACAAAAATGCAGGCGGATCAATATACATGCAACAACAAACATGTACGTTCGAGACGCAGCCTACGCGGTCACGAAATAACAATTACGCAAACTACAAATTTCGCTGAATATTTATATTATTTAATTACATATTAAATGTATCGATCTTCACACGTATAATTCGCTCGAACTTATTTCAAAAGAAAAAATATATTTCTTTACTTTGTGAAAGAATTATACGCTCATGATATGCTCATTATATCAACCCCATTACACTTGCTTGGGTAAATTTTAACATTCACTGGATCACGCTCGTGTGAGGGCAAAATTACACATGCAATTCCTGAAAGTAACAACGTAATTTCGTCGGCAGGTTTAATCAAACAACACAGGTAACTTTTAATTGCTTAATAGAGTAATTTTACGTCTACTGCGCCCGCCGTTAATTATTTAAAGCCCATGTTAGCCGTTCTTTCATATCTAGTAGATCACTTGGTGAGTGGCCGGGGTCAGGAAATCTCTATTCGCGCGCCTATTCATCTCGTCGACTAAGAAACAAAGCTAGAAAATAGTACTTGCATCTCGCATAAATGCAACGCGTGAATGGCTCGTCGCTGGGAAACAGCTGTGCCGAGAGAAGTCAGGAAAACGAGAGGAAAAAGGAATGTCTGAGAATAGAGAGCGTTCCGCAAGATCTGCCTTAAATGTCAAAAGTGCTCTTTACGATGAATTCTATGTTAATTCTCTAATAATTTGAACGTAAGCTATCTCATACTTAAGATTAATTTCTAAGACGCGTAATATCCATTAATAAAATTAGATCGATACTTGTAAGAGCTGAGGATTAAATTATATTTCTGACTGTAATTATTGGCGTGTGTAATTTGCAGTTAATTCTCAGATACGTACGCTTCAGCGCAACTTACCAGTGACTTAACATTGACGTTCGATAAATCGTCCTTGGCGGAAAAATCGATCATCTCCGAATGCGATCGCTGAGTGCCCGTATGCATGCTTGCGTCTTGTAAGCTACAGTTCTGATGGAAAAACAAAAGAAACACGAACACACTGAGCATGCAACTGCATGAGAGATTAATAAGCTGCGTCTACTTGCTAACTTGCGCCGAGCCGTTAGTCGAGTACGATAATCAAAGATAGAAATAATTAATTATTACACGCTCCACGTTTTTCGAGTCTACGTTTCGTTTATGACACATTCTTCACAATTCAATTTTTATTGAGTCGTCCGAAAAGTTCGTGCCGCAAAAGATTTAAATTTAATAAATGAAATTAAAAATTTAAATCTTCTGCGTTTCAATTTTCCTTCAAAATCGACACGAACTTTCCGGACAACCCAATAGAAATACAATCATTTTAATATCCCTTTATATCCCTCTGAATCATGCTTAAGTTTCCTTATAATAAATTATAAACTTTGTCCATTTCGTTTCTTAACTTTTATTTTTTATTCATTTTTACAATGTCGACTTCCACTTAACATTGGACTTTATCTTTAATACTAACTGTGTTGCTGTACGCTTTATACTATGCCAGTTTATGATATTTTAAATTATTAATTATCTTTCGCGTACCTCCTTTTGATGTATTTTTTTCAATATTTATATGTATTATACAAAAAGCTTTCATTAGCAAATTTTTTTACCTTGCATTTACAGACATAAGCTTTTTTTAAAAAAATATATAAATAATTTGCTACACAATTTCGTCCGCACAGACATTCGCACATAATTAGATGATATTATAATTAACTCATGAAAAAAAGAGATACATTACACATAAGTATAATCTATATTTTTTAATAAAAAATATAAATGTCATAATTGATATGATAACAGCACAAATATTTTTCTTCTTCGTTTAACTAATCAAAATGTTAAATATGTTATTTAATAAAGTAATATATCTAATTATTTTCTTTTCTACCGATGTTAACATCATGATTTTTGTAACGGAAGTAAGCTGCTCCACTGCAGCTTGACTGTAATTGCGCGCAGAGGACGAGTCCCGCAAAAAGGAAACGTCGCAATCTCGATCGATATCGTCCGCGCTCTACTTAATAGCGCTCCGATATCTGTCGCGATTGCGTATCAGATCCCTGATTCTAAGAAGCGTCAGACGGTAGAAAACTCGCTCCTATCTGTGCCGACGAAATCCGGAAAAGCGAGCCGACGCATGCAGATGCGATACCAAAAGCGCGAGCTTCCGGTTTTCACCGGCGCGACTGCGCCAGTGGCGAGTTTTACCAGGTAAAGTGATAATTAGCGTGATAACGGTTCCACGCACGGTGATTTCGTACTCGCGCATCTCGCACATGTCGGAGAACCGCCCTCAATTATATCTCTCGAGAATAGCGGCCGGTATGACCAGCGTTTACTTGATGAAAAATTGCGTTGACATATATATGTCTTGTCAATAATCAATACAGAACGTAGCGAATTAGTAGATACAATATAGTCGAGTGACACAGCATGTCCCAGAACAATCGTGGTTTTTGTTCATTCACCGATCCTTTTACCAATCTGATAAATCGTTCAACGAAAATGCCGATAAACCGATAATAACGACAAGGCTTTTACAGTGGATGCATAGAAGTCTGATTTTTTTCGATTAATATCACGTGAAGTTTAATTCGACAGAATTTTCTGATTTGATATCCTATCAAATTTTCATTCGGGCAAGATTGCCACGCTACGATGATTAGAGAACACGTACCGGTGAAAGGATAGCTGCGGGACATCCCGTGCACACGTGCGCGTCTATCAAAACGATTTATAACTCACCACGGAGATGTTCTCCTTCTCGAGATCGCTCTTCTTGCTCTTCTTGGTTTTCTTTGTGCGCGGCGTAAGGTTTGGCGAGGTGGCATCGTTACCAGCAACGCCCTCGATCTTCTTCTTCTTCGTTTTGGTCCCACCTTTTGAGGAGGTCACCACGGTGGAACTCGTGGTCACCGTTTCCTCGCGGCTTTCGCTCTACGATGAAAAAAAGAAAAGAGACACGTACATTATATTTGAAACGTTTGGAATAATTTTTTCAACGACTCTAACGTGGAGATTTCTCGAGCGATTAAAGTAGACATTTGGTTTACTTCTTTATGATTAAATGTTTCTTCCGCGATCTAATGTAGGCGGACACGCGGTCTTCAGGAAAGGAATAGACTTGGAAGAACTAGATTTAGCATACGCCATTGTGCCGCTAAGATTCAATAGTCTTCACTGCGCACGCCGAGATAGGTGAAACGCGGTCTCGCGATCCGACGCGGAAGTTTACATTCGCCTAACAAACGTGATTTGCAAGCAATAATATCGATTTCACGGTGTGGTAACGCAATATTCCCGTTGAATGTAAAAGTACATGGCAGTGAAAAGAGTAACATTAGCGTGCGCATTACGTTATTTTCGCCTGCTTTTGACGTTCAGCCGATGTTCTTCTCTATGAAAGATAAATCTTCGTCTTTTCACGCGCAGAAGAATTTTTCTGAAATATATTTCCTATTCGACGCGCATAAAATCTCGGTCTTAAACTATTACGGATTAAACGTATGAAAAACGAAAGCTGAATTGACGTCAACCAGAAAGAGAATACGCACTGGAGAATAAATTAAATTTCATGATTTTTGCTAAGAGCGTAGCCAATTTCATGATGAAAAATTAAACGTTTTCTTTACCAGATTATAGCTCCGAAATTCGTTCTGACATAAATTCATATATCACGCACTTTATTTTCATTTCATTTCCGACGATTTGATTCATTCTCGTCTTACGTGAGCGTGTATAACGCGATCGACACATTAGTTAGGCAAGACGGAATATTTGTTTAACCACACGGTTTCACGAGCGAAACTAGTCCGATATCGTACAGCGCAATTAAAACGTCATTTGTCTACGTGATTCTCAACTCATAATTGGTAATAATCTTCGCTTTTTTACGATAACACGATATGAGGAGTAATTACCAAACGGAGTAATTACCAAAAGAATGCGAGATAAGAATGCAAACAAAGATGGAGAATTATAAAAATTGGGATTATAGATTAGAGAAAAAAAAAACGTGTCCTCATTTGGCTTCAGTGCCGTCGAAACACGAAAGCAACGGCTTGTTCAGACGCGGGTATTAGAAACGACTGATAAGAGCGTCAAGTTTTCATGGCTCCAACGATTTATACACGATGGCGTAATTGCCCGACAGCTATGGCCGTCCGACAAGGAAGATTTTCGATAAGCCGCACGCGCGGAAAGCAATACTCCGGAACGGAGTATGAGCCATGCGAGCGTAACGTAAAACGCGACATAATGCGTACCGACACAATCTCAACCGCGACGTTTGACTATTAATTATCCAGTATCGAGAAATTGGCAAGAGATGCGATTACGTCATTATTCAAAATTAACAAATATAAACGATAAGATAAGAGATATAAAGGCAGAATATGCTGCATAATTTTTAAGTAAAACGCTCCATATATCAAAAATATTTTAATTACAGGAATCCTTTTAACAAATGTCTACTGATAAACTCTTGTTTAACAAAGAAATGGAGAATAATTATGATAATTCGACTAAACTATTGTTTTCTTAGCGAGGTTTTCTTATTTAAAATATTTAACAATAAAGAAATTTAAAGCGAATTTGAGAGAAACCACATGATGAAACATGCTCTGTAAACTATCACTTTAGAATAATCCTGGCACACTTCCCAACACTTCCCAATTCTTTCTCAAGGTCCTTCCGAACAATTGGAGCTCGCAACAATTTCCCTGCGACCACCAGCAGTTTACGGTACTCTACTTATACTTATACACTCTCTATTTGAAGCACAAAAGCGAAGTTTCGAATTTACGCTATCTCGATTACTCGTCTCGTCTCGAGAAACCGGAAGACAATCGCTTCTCCACGGTCGCTGAGAACTTTCACGTGAAAGCAATATCGATCACATCATCATCAGTTCACAACTTATATCACCTTGAACACACAATTTGGTTTCTTTCTTCTTTGGACTAATGCTGGTCCAAGCAACTTCTAGCACCGACACCAGCCACGCATTCAGAATGACGAACGCGCGTCCACCTTGGCAACGGGGTCGACGAAAGCCAACGAAGGACAGAAGGAGAAAGAAAGAGCGGTCAGAGCTGAGTTTCAAGCGCAAACGAGATGGCTGGTAACTGAAGCGAGAGTGGGAGCAAGCTAGAAAGAAAGAGAAAGAGATAGAAAAAAGGAGAGAGAGAGAGAGAGAGAGAGAGAGAGAGAGAGAGCGAAGGAGAGAGACATAAGAAGAATACAAGGAGAGACTAAAGAAAAAAAGGCGAATGTTCTTGTTCAACGACCGTGTCGTCTGGTGCGCGAAACTCCTCCGCTCACACTTAAGTTTATCCTCCCTCACAAACTTTTATCACGACCCTACAGTAGCAGATAGATCAAGCCGATTCGTCGTCCAGGTCGTACCTGATCGATGATCATCCTCGAGATCACTCCTCGGGATGTGAACGAACAACCACTCTGCGTGATGCCTCAGAGATGTCTGAGGTGCTGAGCAGAGCGTGCGTCTCGTAACGGGTTCAGGAAACTCGATGCTCTCCAAAGCGTAGCACGCAGCATGCGGCTTTCCGCTGCTGACGATTGGCTGTTTCTACCAGGCACGTGGAGCCGGTTGGCCAGGTAAAAGAACTCGGATTCTCAGCTGCTCGGCGAGCAGAACCGTGCCGAGGCGAGGAATGTTTCAAGAGGAAGCGACAGGAGGATTGTGACGCCGTTAAGAGGTTGTACGCAGTGTACGATTGACTTTGACATGATCTCGATCTTGATCAGCCTTTAACTAGCGACATCCGTCTGGGCAAGTGGCCTTGGTAGTTTCGCTCCAGGAGCTTGATTAATTTTTTAAATATTGTAAATAATATAGTTTTTTTAAGATCTAATTTACCAAGCATAAGTCGACGAGTTAAAATAATTGTTTATTCGCAGATAATCGCTGATTGTTCCGTTTTAAATCCTTTCCGCTGTTTACCATGCTAGCAGTAAAATTAATCACAAAAATGGCCATTATCTTTCCTTAAATCTACACCGTATTTACGGATAATGAAGGTAGAAACCAAAGAAGTAAATCGCTGAAGATATAATTATCAAGCTCAGCAAACTGCTCCATACGGAATACAGAATGTATGAGTTTAAGAGATCGTTACCAATTAAGGACTAAAAGCGTCTCGAGTTTTCGAAGAATTAAATATCCCACGTATTTCAATTCGGTCGAGTATACGAATACTGAATCATTGTTACAAGCAGTGTTTCGCGATTTGATACGAAATTCATGGCGATAAGCCGGCTTCCGTTGTGACTGCGGAGCTTGCATTTGCATGAGATTTGTGGTGTGAGCGATCGTCACGCGCTGCTGATCGTAGAAGAGTGTACCTTCAAGGGTATCGAAGAGATAAAGGCAAATAATACACATTTACGATTTGCGAGTAATGAATTATTGCGGAAGGCACGTCGAATATAATATCTAGGTTGCGATTACGTATAGAAGTACTATACGTGAAAATCGACATAAGAAAGAGGAAAATCAATTATTCGGACATATCTATTTGTGATAAATATGTGATGAAGGCCTTAAAATTAATCAAATAAATCGACAAGGTTGATGCTATTCTCTTAGCGATTTGCGATGCTAAATAGTAAAAGGAACATAAATTTATTAAACTTAGCGCATCGATATCGCGGATTATGCGAATATCCGCGGGCATTCGCGAGAATCCCTTACCTGGAAGCTGTCCGATTGTCGAAAAAAGAATAAACGAGATTAATCGTCCTAACGTGTAAAAATATGCGTAGGAGTTACGTAGAGCGATGGCGCAATTAGTCTTGCAGAAATTGCTAGGAGGATCGGATGCACAATGCGCTCGCAGGAATTATCCGATGCAAGCAATAACCTGAACGCTGTTAAGTTATGGCGCTAGTATTTCTCTTGCGCAACGTGCGGAATATGAGTACCCGAGACGCGTTCTACGCCGAACATTTGCAGCTTTATGTCACAAGCGCGAAGCAACCCTATCGATATCAAGGCACATAAATTATACAGAGTGTACAAAAATCATTCAGCATTTATATAATAAATAATATACATCATATTATCTACCATATAAATGCTAAATGATTTTTTTTTATCATCCTATATAATCTGAATTACGGTTAAAGTCAAAAACATTACGACGTTCAGAAGTATAGCGTTTGATTTGAGTGATAATTTTAATGATAAGCAATACCACACAAAAACGATTAATTTTTAAAAGGTGCAATGATCTCGCTCGTGATGTTGATAAAAATGGAGCAAATCAGGCATTATTTCGTTGAATCGTAAGAACTATTACTCCTACCTGTACAAACAAATGCGGTGGCTCGAAGGAAAGTGTTCGTGCTCTCATTCGAGGCTGTGAATTTTCTCAACGTTTTGTATTCACGAGAAATATTACACGACGTACACGTCATCGTCACAATGTTATGATAATGACATATTAACTAATTTTACTGTGAAAATAGTCGCGAGTGCGAAGTTTCGATTTATGCAAATGTAAACGAGAGATTATTCATAAGATATAAAAAAAACTTTAGAAAACAAAAGGACCGATATTTCATATAAGTCACTTCTTATTACATATTTAAAACCTTTAGTGTACATATAATCTTAAAATATATATTATAAGCTAAACACAGGATGGTATTAATAATTAATAATTTGTTCTTATTTTAAGACCGTCTTAAATAATGTCTTAAGATGTTAATACGGTTCTCTGATTGATTTAACTTAAAACCATATTTAAGTCTTAAATATAAGAATCGACTAAAAATACCGCAGTCAGTATTAACATCTTTGTTAAAACAACTTTGAAATACAAACGGAATACCGATCATAAAATATAACATTTTCGTGGATGTCATTAAAATTCTTGTGTGATTAATCAGAGTTAAATCTTAAAAACCATTTTAAAGCCGTTATTAAAAATTTGCGTTAATCAAATATTGGCAACAAATCAATTCATTATACGCAATATTACACCCTGTATTCTTACACCACGATCCTATCGACATTTTTGCGTCATTCCTTCGAGCCGCTTCTTCGTCGCTCGAGCGGGCGTCGAGTTAATTCACGAAAAAAGCACACTTACGTCACAGGCGTTAGAAACATCGCTCGTCTCCGTCTCGTCCGGTGTGGCTAGAGGCGCACGGGGGGACGAGGGTGCAAGGTAATCGTCTTGCTTCCCTTCATTATCGTCCCTCGTCGCGTCGTTAACCGCGTCACGTTCCGTCGCGGTTGGCGCATCCTTCTGTAGTTCTTCGGCGTCTGCCGATTTTGTGGCCTCTTCGACTGTGGTCCACGAGTCGAGATTCCCGATCTGCTCGGCGACGAGTTGTCTCGTCTCCGAAAAGATCGTCACGCTCGTGTCAGATACTACAATCTCGGTTTTTTCGATGAAAGTCGAGTCTGACGCCGAGAACTCGCTCGAGGATTCGTCTACCAGATTTTGCATATCTTCCGCAACGAGACACTCTGGCGATTCGTTTTCCAGAATCGATCCCGATGTTGCCTGAGATTCGGCGATCTCTGAGGATATCACAATCTGCGGTGGTTCCTGATCGATCTCTTCATTTAGCACACGACGTTCTATATCGAGGAATTCCTGCGTACTGGCCATCTCTGCGGACATCTCGGACTGGCAGACGTCGTCGGAGAAATGAGAATCTTTCAGTTTCAAATCGACTTCTTCGATCGTTTCGGAGAGTGACGATTTATCCTGACGGATCGGCGATGTGGGAATCTTCTTTTCCTCCTCGACAGAATTGTTTGCACAGGAATCATTAAGTGTATCGATATGTTCATTCGTGGAAGACTTTTTATTCATCCAAGAGAATTTCATTTCTTCAAGGTTTTGATTTAATGGATAGAGCTCCTCTTCACAATTATAGAACCGACCGGCCTGCAGACCATGAAAGGCAGGCGTATGGTCAGTCCATATGTTCGGAATATCTACGTTCTTTCTTTCCTGTTCAACATCGGTGTGAAGGAGATCTACGTCATCGAGTATCTTCGGCACTAATTCTTCCTCTCGTTGGTATTTATCCACGGGACAACTCGCAGAAATTGGGAAAGACTGGGAGTTCGATTCATCTATGAAATCATTTGTGACATTGACAGAGTCTGCATCATCCGTGGGAGGAACAGCTTCCTTGACAATCGCCTGACACTCCTCACTATTACTGCTAACATCGACAGCTTCGTTGCGGTTTGACTCTTGATCACCTTCGTTCGTTTTCTGAATAATTATCGGCGCATCAGCTTCCGATTGCTCGACAAACGCTTGATCTTCTTCTTCATCATCGAAACGTCCTGGTTTTGGTTTTACAACTTCAATGTTGACGTGTGGGGACACATGACCATTCCGATGACCATATGGTTCCTCGACTAAAGAATAATGCCCGCTCTCGGCAGCTATGAACTCCGCATTAACATCAACGGGATCCTGTCGACAATCCAGAACGATTTTCTTGATTGTCTCCGGTTGAGAGATGACATTTTCGGTTTCTTCGATAACGGCATCATCGTCGTCTTTACTCGAGCAGATTCTCAGGGCCAGTTCACTCTCTATCAGCTCTTGCAGACTCTTGTCGTCGTTCTCAAGCTCGTTACGTGTATTGTTTGTGAGTACGAGATCGTCATCGTCGCACAATGAAATTAGTTGAGTGTTACTCGTGGTTAGATCATCCAAATCAATCAAACCGTTGTTAGATTGAACACCGCACACCTCGTTCTTCTTGCTACTTACTACATTGATCGACTTCTTTGTTGCCACCTCCGCCATTGTGGTTCCTTGTGTGATCACACCGTGGACACCTGGAAAAAGTTTCGATTGTTTTAGATTATCAAGAAGATTAAGATAATTTAAATACGTATAATGTAAAATGCCTTTTTAATATACTTAATACTAAGGTGCAAATTATGCAAGCACTTCTTGAAAAACATTAATGCGATAATCCTATTAAATTCTCTTTTATATATATTTTTTCAATATCTTAATCTTATCTTAATCTTATCTTTTATAAAAAATATATTAGAATAATAAAAAATAAGCTCTCTCTCCCTCTCTCTCTCTCTCTCTCTCTCTCTCTCTCTCTCTCTCTCAACCTCTCTTCCCTTTCTCGTACACAAGAAGAGTATAAATTTATAGAAGTGACTGTGGATTAATACAGAGATGAAACTGGGCAACGGGAACGCAAAATGTAGGATCGATAAATAATACTTATGAGTAACCGGTTTCCCTATGTAATTTCGAGCTAGAAAGTGCGAGAAAATAAAAATTCTTCGGGGTGCGTTACTGTGAAACGAAAAAATGTAAGACATGTAAGACAAATGAAAAACACTACGCGTCAAATTAACGTTTTAAATGACATAATAAAATAGATTTTAATTGATAAAAATGACATTTATTTCGATAAAACGACATTTTTTATATTGAAACATAAAGACACATCCATATATTCTTGTAAAAAATAAATTACACGTAGCTATTAATATTATAAAATTGACTTTATAAAACAAACAAATTCTCCCAAGAATGAAAACTTTTATTTAAATATTTTATTTAAATATTCTACAATTCTCTTTTGCAGTTTTCCTAATCTTTTTATTATTACTGATTAGAGTGATTTGTGATACGGAGATATTTAATACTAGAAATACTGAGAGGTCATTATTGACTGTTTTTATTTTTAAATTAATATTATATCTCTGTAAAAGACAGAATTCTGAAGTTTTTAATTTCCAATAATTATTTTTATATTGAAATATTTAATTTTTCATCATTTAAAAAATTTTTATAATAATTTATTTGTTTCTCCTTTTAGTGAATAAAAAAACATTATATTCTTTTAGTGTGAATATAATTCAATATAAACCGTAATAATTTAATACATATGTCTCCATATAATCCGTTTTCTATTCGATATAATATGAGCATGTGAATGAGATCTTCTCGACCCGCGCAATTGACTTTCTTCGTATCGAAACACAAGGAAAGCTCTTCAAGTACGTGTATGGCAAACCATCTGCCACTCGATAAAGTAGCGCCGGTTTATGGTTATGCAAAAGAAAACCTGCGCAAGTGGTCACACAAGATCATGGTCAAACGGATATGTAACGTGCCTGTCAGGCAACTTCTGATCAATTTAATATTGCTCGCCGAAATTTGTATTTTGATACAATTATTATAATTTTATGGGCGATGATATATCGTTAAAGTTACGAGGAACTTATTATTCGGTAAAAGCAGAAGCTCTTGTACAATGTAAATTTCTGTATTTTCTATTGTATCCATATTAAACTAAATTTGCATGAAAATCTAGATAACAAATTGAAAGAATAAATCACATATGTGACAATTTAAGTAATATTATAATTTATAGATATTGAGTTTCTTTTTAATTTGTACTCTAAGAATATATATCTACATAATTTATTTAAAAAATTGCTTTTTGATAATAGCGTTTCAGTTTCTAGAGTATCGTATTTTTGGAGCGTTACTACATTTAGTAGATATGCGCTTTCGAGAGCCCTCAGTCCCGCTTATAAAATCGCGGAAACCGTCGCAGTGGAATGCATGCTGTCTTAATATTCTCATACGCGGATGTGTGGGTACCAAGACGCACCAGGAGCACCAAGTCCATCGCGATATTAACGGAAGTTACACCTCTATAGGACTCGGTCGCGACTGCAAACCGATGTTGTTGGCTGGTAAGCCAACCCTCCTATTATTAGCCATTCTGCAACGTCGCGTTTAAGCTTCTGCGACGGAATGCACTTTCAAAATATGAAATCCAAAACTATTGAAAAATACTTCGAGAAAAAGGAAAAAAAACGTTATTCATAACTGCTTTTATATCCAGCGCGTTAAATACATATTTCAATAATCAAAACCCAAATCGAGATCTTATTGAAGATAAATAGAGACATTCCGCTATTTGAAATTTCCTCGAGTTTCAATTTATAATTAAAAAATTATGTTAATTCAGGTTACGCAGCGTGCGAATTGAAAGTAGAAAACAATCTTGCAATTAGAAAGGTATGGCGCCTTGCGTCCCAATTCATTTACGGCGTTTTACTTTAATGAACATGCATCTTCCTTCTTGGCTGCTTGAACGCTGTAACTCTCTTCGGTAATTTGACAAAATTCCAGCGCTGCGTACACATATCCTCAGCTGAAAGAGTTTATAAACAGAGGGCCACACGGTGGCCAGCTCGATCTCATCCAGTAAACCGACACTATCCGGAGAGTTCAAAATTAGAAAGTGGCAATCTCATGCATCTTCACCGCGCGCACTTCTTGGTTTCTCTCCATTTTCGAAACAGGACGATATCCAAAATGAATGAAATTTTTAAGATGTTCGCTGATATGTTTGTGTTCGCAATATCGCTTTTGAATCTCTTTTTCGCACTGTTTAATTTAATATCCCTCCCCGTCCACATCGTTCTCCCGCGATTCTATCCTGTCTTTTCTCCTTCTCTTAACGTTCTCGTCTAACCCGCTCTCTTCCTTTCTTTCTCACTCTTTCTCTCTTGCTCGTTTCTCTTTTCTCGACGTTTCACCGAGGTCGTTCCTCGGGTTCACGACCGAGACTATGGAGGTACTCCTTCCCTCTCTCTCCTTTTTCTTCTGTATCTCTTTCTCTCCTTCAACTTCTACGTGGCCTCTACTCTCCTTCTACTTCTATGTCTTTCCTCTCGTCTTGCCATCTTTCGTTCTCTCGTGTCTTAGCTTTCTTCTCATTTTAACTTCTCTCTATTTTTAGAATGACACACTACCGCGATTCAAAGACGCACGCTGGACACATCGTATTCGTTCTCGGAAAATGTTCTGCCCAAATGCGGTGTGCGAACGAAAGTGAGCGTTATGGAAACCGAAGAAGAAAGAGAAAGAGGTAGAAAAGGGGCAATGAGTCGAGAAAATTTTTTCTTACTTAGGTCAAGCGACAGGTGCACAATATGCACCCTACCGTGCTGTAAGGCCGAGTAACCCTCGCCCAAGTCGCAAGAAAAGTGAAACTCAAGATATTGCCAGAGCAAATTGTGAGGTGAGAATTACAAGAGAGGTTTAAGAAGTCAAGAAAAATTTCAAAGAGACAAGACAACACGAAGATATGGATAAAGTCTCGCGAGAGATTAACGTCTGTGAGTTCCAAGTTTAATTATTAAAGCATTTCATCAAAAAGATTGATCGGAAAAAAAGTCTCGCGAGAGATCAAGTTTAATTATTAAATTATTTAAAAAAAAGTGAAATATTAAAAGTAGAAAGAAGATCGTATTCAAAGTCTTATCGAAGAAGATTGAATTACATGTTTCGAGAGTTTTTAGTCCAGTTTAATTATAATTTATTATTAGACATACCTCACACATAAAAATTGTAAGAGCTTTGTAACATCACGCTAATAAAAGATAATTGATCACGCGATCAAATTATGTGTTGGGTATATATTGTAAAAGTCCAGAGTCCACGACGTGCGTTTTACGGTGAGAGACGACGGATATAATCGTAACATAAATTATCGTAATAAATAGAGCCTTGTTTACGCAATTAAGTTCTATCAAGAAAAAATGATGGTGTCGCTAAGATCGTGGTCCAAATAACTAAATCTTATATCGATTCGTGCTTCGTCGACACGAATTAATGAATCAATGAATGCTCGCGAGAATGCATTATACATGCCGTTGTCTCTTTTTGTGGCCACTTATAATGTTGCAACCATATTATAGTACAAGTGCGCTCCGCTAAGTATACCTCAGAATATCCCTATACGATCCTATGGCGTGCGTGGTGTAGCGAGAAACGCGAGATTCTATGCGTTCATAAGAACACCGTTCGTACACCCACGATTTACTGAACGCCATGGAATTAAATTCTCGAACGGTACCGAGAGCTGGTACGGTAAATATCGAACGCGGTCAATGAAATAATGAGCGAGTCCGCGGTTACTTTCGATAAACTTCATCGAAGTGCTGTTGAAAACATTTCTAGTCATGTATAAATAAAATGTCTATATAGGCCTCTGTGATTGTTACATTCCAATGATTTACCAATTATATCTTATCATCTTATAAATATATTATTATTTATGCATTAACAACCGCGAAGGCTCATATAGGTGTTTTACTTATATTTGATTTATTTTTGGAGATATAAAATTATTTTTATTTTAATTTCTAGTCAATATACTCGGGAAGATATTGAATGACAACATTTTAAATCCTAATTAATTTTAGTTCTTTCAAATTAGCAAAATCAACATTTATTTAATTATATTTCAATTAACTTGTAATTATTCCTTAACAAGCAATAAGTAAGAGCAAGAGTTCACGTTTTTTTTTTTTCATTTGTAAACAAAACGTCACGGGCTTATCTTATTGTTAATCAGTTTAATCCATTAACACGGTATGGGAAATCGCGTAAAGTGCTAGGTGAAAACAGCGATGATTAATCTAAAGGATGTAATTTAAGGAGTACACAACGCAACGTTTACGCCTGTGTGAGGAATCATCGTGTCAGATGACTGCGACCCCGTGTCCTACGAAGATGTAATAGCTTTCTGTCCGTAATCAATAATGTAAATTTTACTTCTCTGCTTTGCCCAGAGGCTGATGAATAATGCAGACGCTTCTCTGTCTGGATTGATCGTGATAGGCTTTCATCTAGATAATATTTTACCGGAATAACGTAGTGTCAGTGACTTGATTTACAGTGATGCTGTGTTACTTTACATATCCATGTCAGATTAGAACACGCAAATCACCGAGCTACTTGCGCATTTCCTTATTTGCGACTCCTTTCGATTTCTCCAAGTAAA